CATTGCCTAATAACTATAATTAACTAAGGCTGCCCAAAATAATCTACTTAACAATGGTTTCTAAAGAGCACTTTATACATGTCACTTACCCTAAAGTTAATTAATTGTATACAGCACTCCACTTTAAGAAATAAAGTCAACTGTTTGTTTTGTTTAACCTGGGGAAGGTCTCTGACCAGTCAGGCTGTGTGATCCCGGAAGAGTTCACGTTTTTTATTAGTAGCAACATTCATAAACAAGCGCCGCTGTTGCACTGAATAGCTACGAAAAAAACAAATACCCTTATGCAATTCGACCACAATTAAAATATATTTTTTTTCACTTAAGTACTTAGGTCAGGTCCACAGGTCAAGTGCAATTTTCCTGTGTATAAACCATGAAAAGTGATCCTTATTACTGTTTCGTCTTACCTCCTCCGCGGTGGCGGCACCACTGAACGGCTCATCTGATTACAAAGACCGTGTCAGGTGATTTTTATCTAACGTGTAAACGAACAGCAGAATGATTAAATTCTCAGTATTTACGAAGCATCTCGTGATCAAGGAGTCGTTAATGTAGATTCAATTAACAGTCAGGGTTTCAGAGCTAAAGGGAAATTGAGGGAAGTCGAGTTGTTTCAGAGGCAAAGCTGAGTAACGATCATGGACATTAAAAGGTTTGATAATGGTCTTTTGATGAGAATGCTAATTTATATAACAATAGGAACATGATTATAATGTGATAATCCTGACTTCACCACACAATATAATGCCATCAAAACTTTAATGTTGTTGTAGTAAATTTGAGGTAAATACAAATCAGCTTCACTTAAACACACAACACACAAAATATATATATTTTTTAGTTAATATACATGTATTGTGGAGCATGACAGATGTTATAAACTCCGGTAACACTGTATGTTGACGTAGGATGTGCTAGAGAATAGTTCACAGTATTGACTGACGGAAAGGTATCACATCGCCATAGATCCTGACAACATTCCAAACCAATCAAGACTCACGTAATCGTAATAACACGATTGCAAACAAATCTTGGAACGGGCAGAGCTTGAACCCATGACAAGTGAATCAAGTGGCCGAGTGGTTAACGCACTGGCCTGTGAGTTTTAGGAATCACTTGCCAAAGGTTCAAGCCCAACTCGTTCCGCGATTTAAAACCAATCTTTAGTCTCTGACCTGATAATTTTTTATATTAAAATATCAGGGAAAAATGACGTAGCGAGGGTCTTAACCATATGATGACTCTCTCACTGAGAGTCATCATATGGTTAAAACTGCATTGCAGAGTAGAGCTGTATCCTTGAAGGTCACAAATTGTGTCAAGGGAGTGTACCTGGCTCTCTTACCATTGGTGAGCCACTACTGAGATAAGATGTGCATCTCTACTCAATAACTATTCATTAACTCCTTCCCCCTATATTTTTTATGTGAGTAGAGGTAATGGTATGGGTAGGGAGGCCACCAGCAGCTTTGGCACGTCCCTACCCCTGGTGTAATGACAGTGAGAGTAGCACGCGATTTCTAAGAGGGAGTGTAAACTGAGAGTCTAGTAGGTACTGTATTAATGTCTATGTAGCAGTGTGGTGGCACCGTCGTTCTGCTGCGTTCTCAATTATTTTCTTTTTGTTAGAGTAGCCAAGACGAAGCCGATGATGTATGGTAAGGTTCATGTTGGCAGCTTGAGGTTGACACTCTGAAGCCGTTTTTTTTTTTGTTTACCATATCTTTGATCTTGAGGTGTGGTTTGAGGGTCTCACGTGTTTAGTCTTTCCTAAGCTAACTGACATGGAGACAAGTACATATTAACCCTTAGTGGCAAATTTTTCAGCTACATCTGCAGCTTTGTTCCCCTGGATACCAAAATGGCTTGGTATCCAGGTGTGTGGTTTTACTTCTCTGTACATCTAAAACTTGTAAGATGCTCAAGATAATAGTAAAGTTTTACGTTGCCTTGAGGCTTAGTTTGTAGCTTGGAGTGACTGGAGAGCAGCTATGGAAACAGTGTGAAGAACAACTTGTTGCATATTCTGTTGTAAAAGCTGACTTAGTACTTGCTGGACTGTTAATCTGCCAATAACTCAGCTTATTAAGCTGAGCAGTTGTTAGGGAGTCTCAGTTCTCTTGTGAAGATGGAGTTTTATAAGGATGAGCTTTACTGGTTTAAAAAGACACGTTAGCAAATACTAGAACATATTAGAAAACGTTTCTGTCCCGAGACCTTGATCACTTCTAACATACAGAGGTTAAAATGATAGTATATACAGGCGGAGAGTGAGGTGTGAGTGACACATAATCATTGTGTGTCACATCTCACTCTCCGCCTATATTATACCGTTATTTTAATGTGTGTCAAAAGTGAACGAGGTCACAGGACCGACACGTTTTTTAATAAATATGTAGTGTCTGCTTACGTGTCTTTTTAAACCAATTTGTCGGTAACAATTACCAAGGTTTATACAATGAGCTTTATTAAACTCTTTGAAAAACAAAAGTTTGTTTTTCAAAGAGTCTTTTCTTCATTGTCTGGGATAACTTGGATGCACAATAACACTATTATCCCTATAAATAAAAGTTGAACTTTCACATTATTTTCAGTGAAACAATATTAGGAAGGAACTGTTAGGATAAGGAGAAGGGATTATAATCCATTTTCTCAGAAGTTTAAAAACAACGCTATAGATGACACGAGTTTCAGTACTTGTTTAAAAACTGTGTGTGTGCATATATTACTAAGGACAGTGACTAGAAGAAATTATGATTAAATGTATGTTGAGCAGTATTGTGTGAAATATATACCTGTTTTCATTGTGTATCGGTCCTTACACGTAAGTGTTGTTAAGAGAGGCGGGACATCTAGTAAATAAGGGCGGAAGGATTTTTTTTTTTTGGGGGGGGGGGAGGGTAAGGAAAGGGAAGTAGAGGACGGAACATGACTTCCTCTGAACTAATTTCTATTTGAACTGGGGAAAGATGATTTGCGAGGAATCGTTATTTACCAGTGACGAGGCTTTCTTGAAAGATAGTAACATCATTAAAGTCCTTCTCATGCCAGGTAACTGGGATACTGAGAAGCAGCAAGGGTAAGGCAGATATGTTTGTTATGAACCCTTGAGCACAGCCTCGTCGCGCTTCTGATAGAATTACTCATTAAAATAAAGAATGTGTGAGATATCTATTCTCTCTCAGGAGACAATTCCTTATAAGTCTCCTTTTCCTATCATACCTTGAGGTAGTCCAAGTAATACTTTGCTTATGTATTAAGAGTCTTGCGTAAGACAGAATAAATGAGCTGGCAGTACAGGTGATGTTGACGGGTGGCTTTTCGACGCGGACGTATTTTAGCCTTGGGATAATAATGCCTATAATTTTTTTCTGAAAAAAAAAAAAATTATGATAAAATTTGTGATACAAATATTTTATAAAGTCAAGCGTACCTTCTACTAGTCAAAACAATTAAAGCTGGGGGGGGGGGAGGGAGGGGGGTTGCGATGCACCAGGTACACAAGTATTGTCACTGCAAATGAGCTGATGGCTTAGCTGTGCTCCGAGATTAAAAATAACCAAGGGTTTAAAAAAACCAGGAGAGTTAAAGTGAGAGAGAGACAGAAAGTGCCTTCTCACCATCCTCCCTCACGAGAGTGAGGTGAAGAAGTATCATAGGTAGTAGATGTTTACCCATCGTCGTGGGATTAACCCAGGATTTGGCTCGACACCTGCTGGTAGCAATTAACATCAATAAAGTGCTCAATTATCTAAGAGCTAAAAAGCAATGTGTGTGTGGGGGGGGGGGAGTAAGGGGGGGAGAGGTTCTTGAAAATTTAAATAGTGAAAATCGTATAACATCTGCCAATTAATAACTGTAGTCAAGGTAAGTTTTATTGTCTTATATAAGCGAGAGAAAGAGAGAGAAAGAGAGAGAGGGAGAGAGGGAGTTAGTTTGACTCCAAACTAACCATGAAGAACCATGTTGTAAATCTTGCAAACAAGGCAGCCAGGAAGCTTACAGCACTTCGCCGTATCTCGCATCTGCTTGACAGTAGGGGTTGCAAGATCCTGTACGAGGCACAAGTACGCTCACACCTTGAGTATGCTCCACTTTCTTGGTTTGCCTGCCCCCCCCCTCTCATCTGCGACTGCTTGACAGAGTAGAGAACAGAGCAAGACGTCTCATCTCTCGCCTGGACCCATCCTGGATAGATCTGTCATTTCAGCAGAGCCTTCAACATAGGAGGGATGTGGGTGGCCTTACTGTTATGTACAAGGCCAATATTGTCAAAATACCACACTTGGATCCACTTCGAGGACAGCGTGAAACAAGCTTTTATGCCACAAGACGGGCAGAAAGCAGCAACTTCACTCTGGCTGTACCCTTCTCCAGAACATCACTCCATCTGAGATCATACATACCCAGGATGACTCGAGTATGGAACACATTCGTACAGCATAATGATGTCAACGAGATAAAGTCAGTTGATCAAATGAAAATGCTGCCCACAGATGGCTCCAACTTCATCCTGTCCCGTACTTGTATGTCTCATAACAATAAAAATGCTTTCAAATGAGCTGATGTAGGTAACAGCTCTTAGCTTGCCAATAAAGTTAGGAATCCTTAACCTGTAATATAGCTGTCAATAAAGCTAGGGATCCTTAACCTTGTCAAACCCTGTGTAAAAAAAAAAAAAGAGAGAGAGAGAGAGAGAGAGAGAGAGAGAGAGAGAGAGAGAGAGAGAGAGAGAGAGAGAGAGAGAGAGAGAGAGAGAAGAGAGAGAGAGAGGGAGGAGAGAGGGAGGAGGAGGGAGAGAGAGAGGGAGAGAGAGAGGGAGAGGAGAGAGGAGAGAGAGATGGAGAGAGAGAGAGAGGAGAGAGAGAGAGAGAGAGAGAGAGAGAGAGAGAGAGAGGAGAGAGAGAGAGAGAGAGAGAGAGAGAGAGAGAGAGAGAGAGAGAGATGGTGGTGGGTGGGGAGGAACGGTGAGGGAGCAGAGTAGAGGAAGCATCACACTCTGCTGTTGACGCTGGGTTGGTGAAGGTGGGCGCTGAGAGTCGTCGGCCGCAGTGTTCACACACACACAATCACACACCCGCACGCCCACACTCATTCCTGTATACACGCCCTTACTCACGCCTGCACGCACCTTCATACACACGTCCACACAATCCCATAAACAATCCTCCATACACGCCCATACATACGCCCCCCTCCCCCTCATTCCAGACGCCCGCACACACGCCTGTACACACCGTATATGCCCCCGCGTGGACGCGCGTTTTGCGGTATCGGATGCGCTAGTTGAAAGGTGCTCAAAAGAAAAATAAACCAAAAATATAATCAGAGAATAAAAAAAAAACTTAATCAGAAACACATTTCAGTTACGTCTTGCACTGGATACCAACTGGATGGGTGACCAGTCATTAGGAGTTTTTAAGGTAGGTACCAACACAATGTCATTTTTCTTCTGGCGAGGTCAAGTTTACTCTTCTGTCTTCCGGAATAAGTGAAAAAATTGAACTTGAATACCTAGACATTAACAAAATGTGATTCTTTGTATTTTAAATGAGATGTAAAACGTAACACTTGTAAGCCAGTGGCTACTTAACCTCGGGTATTTAACACCGATAAGCTAGTGGTTGCTTAGCACCGGTAAGTAAGCAGTTGCTCATCCACGGGTGAATTGCACCAATAAGCCAATGGTTTCTTAGACCTAACAAGCAGCACTGGTAAGCCAATGGTTGCTTAACTACGGTTATATACAATATCACCAGTAGGCCAGTAGTTTGTGTAATTATTGTAGCAATAACAGCACAAGTTAGGTAAATGGACCTATATGCAACTTAGAGAGACGACTGTTAAGGCAACGTTTCGCCCACCACGGGCTTTGTCAAGCAAGTATATACATTATACGAAGACAATGAATATATATAAGGACGGAGGTTGTAGTAGAAGCCGTAGTAGTAACAGTAGGGTGTATTAGGATTCATCCCAGAGATGAGAAAAACTGTCTTTATTTGTGCAGCAGTGTCGGAAACAGATACAAGGGCTACTTCCATGCACTTGCGCTTTTACCTTTAAGGTATTTAGTAGTATTCCGATGGTGTATGAAGGCTTTGTTCAGGTTGTCGCATCTGCGGCACAAGTGTGTTCGTTCAGGTTTCTTTCTCCAATATATTTCCCGCTGGGAGAGGCGTAAACACCTGCATAGACTACTTCTCGGTGCGAGATTTTGGTTTTAAGGTCCTTGATGGAGTTGCTATTGGCACTGAAGACTGACATTACCTCGGGGAAGCATGTATACACACTTGAGCAACTTGGTAATTAGAATGAACGAGGAATTTGTCGAAAGTGCTATCAATGTGCGGATATTTAATGACCTGGAGGGTGTATTTCTTGCAATCTCTTAAAAAGCCAACGAAACAGACCCCTGAAAATATCGGTGTATAAAAGCAAGTTATTCGTCTAGGAACTCTGAACTGTGGCTAAGGAAGTTTCATAGAAACTCCTACAAAGATGCTTCATATGATCTTGGTGTTTTGATTGGAGTAAAAAGTGAATGAGATCGTTTGTTGACAGGTTTCTTGGAGAGACTGAACTAGAGTGAATTACTGACCTTGTGTATGAGGACACTGAGATGCTGGAATATGTCGAAGGTTTCTTCTTCTAAAGTGAATAGAACTGAAGGTTCAACTGCAGTGAGCCTTCTTTTTTAGCGTGAGGTTATCGGTGTGCCTAAGAGTGATGTGGAGAACATCATTCACCTAACACATCAATGTGATGTTAAGGATAATGCTATTGAAACGTTCAGTTTGTAAGTTTTCCAAGATTCACTAAGGTGCTAATGGTATAGGCTGTTACTGAAAATCAAACAAGTTGGTGCAAAGTTCAGTGAAATTGTTAAAATCATTTGGAGGAAGTGGAAGTGCGAGGGTGAGTTAACTTTGCAGGGGAGCAAGTTAACGGACTGCAAAGTAGTAACTTTGGTAAACAAGATGATGTTCAGACCACTTCTTGTATCTGGCAGCAAGATTGTTAATGCGACTGAGCAAACCACCGGTGTTTTAAGTATATGCATACAGAAATAACCCGCACGTAAGAGAAAGAAACTTATGACTAAGTTAATGGTCCAAGTTGGACCGAAAAGTATGTTTCTCCTATGTGCGGGTTATTTGTGTATTGTTCCAGTCGCAATATTGCGCCTTTTTATTCTTTAAGTACAGGCATTACTGATAGTACCTAAAATACTAGAAATGTATTTGGCTAGGACATTGGTTAACATGTGGGGTGCGCGTCCTATACCAGACAGGACTGACTGGTCTTCAAGATATGTGGTGTTTGAGGGGGGCTTTGTTATTTATGTGTACAGGTTTTCTATTGCTCGGAAAGAGTTATATAACTTTCTGCATGCCTTCCTCGTGTGTCTGAAGACTTATCTAGCTTTAAATCAGAAATTCCTGGTGAGCGTGTCTCACTTACGAGTGTTGAAGTGTTAAGTGGTAGACTTGTTAATCATCAATTTCGAGTCAGAATCGCCTGTTTAATATAACTTCACATAGTTTGTTTGCTATGGTGACGACTATGAGGATGACATCCATACACCAAACATTTTCCGAGCTCCATTTCTGTACCTTCTCCACGCAGCGAGATTTGTTCATTTAAATTCACCATTCTGCCCAAAAATGTCTACAGTTCTGTGCTGAACCAACATCAGAAACACCACTGCAAATTCCATTTCCACCAGTGACCTCACCAAAACCAAATTCTGCACCCAGAAACAGTCCATGCCATATTCTGCAGGGAATATGCAAAGTATACATTGGAAAGACATCCAGTACCCTCCAGCAGATGCGTCAGTCTGAACATGTGTATGCAGCATATTAACACCACCAATCACTTTATGAAATAGAAGGATGCTCATCTGGTTATCCAAAAATCAGACACACGTATACGTATGGATTCTGTAATCATTTTATACATCTTTACTATCACCATACCCTTCACACCTATATATTTATACTAACTGTGTCTATACATTGTATATATTGGCTTGGCAAATCCTGGTCGGCGAGACGTTGTTTTAATAAATGGTTCATTTACGTTGCATAAATGTTAATTTGCCTAAGCCAGCAGGTGCTAATCCTGACACTGAACATCAGTAAGCCAACTACTATTTAACCAACGGGTATACAACACAAGTAAACCAGCGTATGATTAAATTAGTGGATTAATCATCCATCAGCAGTTGCCCTATCCCTGAATGAGTCATCAGCTGAAGAAAGATCCACGTCGGGAGATTCTTCAAGTTTCCTCACAAATAATCCACCGCCTCCACCTGATTAATTCCTTATAATCACTTCCTATATTTTCTCTGCAATTTTTCCCTGTACAGCAAATTCTATTTTCCTGTAACTGTTTTAATTCACTATTAAGCAACATGGTGGGGAAAGAAAATTACTGTTACTAATAGACTGAATAATGTTTTTATACCGTGACAACTGAAGGTCATACAATCATCATTGATATAGTTGATATACTGATATCCTTTGCTGTTAATTAAGGGTTTCTAATCCTTAGAAACTGAGACAACCTCCCTTTCTCATTCCCCAGGCTCTGTACAGGTTGTCTTTTCCAATACTACTACTACTACTACTACTACTAATATTAATAATAATAATAATAATTTCAGTTAACTAATCGTTGTATTCCAATATTTTCTTTTTCTACCCTAGAGATCGTTATTAATTTTCACAGACGTCTAAGTTTATGACAGCAGTGTATGGCACGCGTTTCGACTTTTTTAAATAACAGTGCCTGAGACTGCAATACAATGTCATGGCACGCAACACACTTTGCCTTGATAGTGTCAGTGATAGCGACGGTGCCGATGAGCACCACCACCAGGCAGTGCCACGCAGTAGCAGATATTACCAATGCTATATAGTACCAGACAGTGCCATTTAGTGCTTGGCAGCGGCAAATACTACTAGATAGTAAGGACAGTACCAAACAGTGTTACGCAGCACACCAGAAAACGCCAAGCAGTGCCATACAGCGTCACTGTAAGAAGATGCCAGACAATGCCAGATGGTACTCGACAGTGTCAGACAGTGCCAAAATAAGTCAGGATACAATTCACTGTCGTTGTATAATCACAACGACGTTGTTGGCAGTGATGTTATTGACAGAAAGCTATAATATTATTTATTTTTTATTTTTTAATTTATTTTTTTTATTAACACATCGGCCGTCTCCCACCAAGGTAGGGTGGCCCGAAAAAGGAAAACTTTCACCATCACTCACTCCATCACTGTCTTGACAGAGGCGCGCTTACACTACAGTTACAAAAATGCAACATTAACACCCCTCCTTCCTAAAGTCAGGAACCGACTTTAGGTTCTTGTCCAGTGCCACCTTGAAGACTGCCAGGGGTCTGTTGGTAATCCCCCTTATGTATGCTGGGAATCAAATACAAAAATGGGAATTGACACAGTTGCTTTTTGCTGGTGATACTGTGCTTATGGGAGATTCTAAAGAAAAATTGCAAAGGTTAGTGGACGAGTTTGGGACTGTGTGTAAAGGTAGAAAGTTGAAAGTGAACATAGAAAAGAGTAAGGTGATGAGGGTATCAAATGATTTAGATAAAGAAAAATTGGATATCAAATTGGAGAGGAGGAGTATGGAAGAAGTGAATGTTTTCAGATACTTGGGAGTTGACGTGTCGGCGGATGGATTTATGAAGGATGAGGTTAATCATAGAATTTATGAGGAAAAAAAGGTGAGTGGTGCATTGAGGTAAATGTGGAGACAAAAAACGTTATCCATGGATGCAAAGAAGGGAATGTATGAAAGTATAGTAGTACGAACACTCTTATATGGGTGTGAAGCTTGGGTATTGAATGCAGCAGCGAGGAAGCGATTGGAGGCAGTGGAGATGTCCTGTCTAAGGGCAATGTGTGGTGTAAATATTATGCAGAAAATTTGGAGTGTGGAAATTAGGAGAAGGTGTGGAGTTAATAAAAGTAATAGTCAGAGGGCTGAAGAGGGGTTGTTGAAGTGGTTTGGTCATTTAGAGAGAATGGATCAAAGTAGAATGACATGGAGAGCGTATAAATCTGTAGGGGAAGGAAGGCGGGGTAGGTGTCGTCCTCGAAAAGGTTGGAAGGGTTAAGGGAGGTTTTGTGGGCGAGGGGCTTGGACTTCCAGCAGGCGTGCATGAGCGTGTTCGATAGGAGTGAATGGTGACGAATGGTATTTGGGACCTGACGATCTGTTGGAGTGTGAGCAGGGTAATATTTAGTGAAGGGATTCAGGGAAACCGGTTATTTTTAAATAGCCCGAATTGAGTCCTGGAAATGGGAAGTACAATGCCTGCACTTTAAATGAGGGGTTCGGGATATTACCAGTTTGGAGGGATATGTTGTGTATCTTTATACGT